CATGCCAATGTGCGCTATCGCCGCCCACTTTGATTTCGTTTCATCGTAGTGGGCGTGACCAAATTGGTTTCATTGACAATTTAACGGACTAGTAACCGCAGGTTTCCAGCTTTTTCTTGAATTTCCTTATTATGTTTCTGTGTGCGATCTTTGTTGTTTCTCGGTAATTCTAAACGTGCTTTCTTGCTTATATTTCGATCAAAAATGAGGACTAGCCCGATCTTTCATGAAATATGCAATGTACGGTCGATACAGTATTACCGATATTGTACTGCCAATATTAATTAGATTTCGGTGAATCGTTGAGCGTCTCGGGCCACAAAGCTATTAAGAAGACTCTGACTGCTCAAGAAGCGCGACGGCCTGTTGGGAGTTAGCTTCTTTCATGACTTAAGTAATCCACAAAGTTTATAGATGAGACTTTTGTGGCTAACGGCTCGACGCCTTCTCTTTCAGATCCAAAGATTCGAGTCAGTCGTCCACAGTCGTTCGATCCCGTTGCGGATCTTCGTCTTCGTGGTTTGGGTGAAATGTTCTTTTGCGAAAAACCTCAAATGAAGAACCTCACTAGGCACTCCTATCAATACAGAATAGTTTATATGCTAATAATTCGTTGATAGTGGTAATATGCACTTACTTTCCCGCATAATCTATCCTGCAGCAGTCGGGATAGCTACCAGCTGGTACGAAACATAATCCTTTAGCACTTCATTTGATCCGTCATCACATTTTTTTTTCTCCTGTGAGGATCCCAGTATTTCTTGCATTCAATTCGTTTTTCGTCTTCTCCTTGAACGGCGTAGAAGACTGGTTGAGCATTCTCTTTGCAATCTCGAGGATAGCCTTGCTGTGGCAATCCATAGGGCGTTGTTGTTGACTGCCAGGCAGAGTTGGGGGATGAAGCTCAGCTCTACGCGGTTCGCCCTGAGCATCACAACCACGTGGCCATGGTGCCCCCTACGAGCATAATAATGTTTTGTAAACCGGATTTTCTTCAATCTTGGCATAATCAATCATTAATAACTTCTTTCATGATGAAGAACGACTGTGACCAATCGCCTCGAATCATTGGCTCTGAAGAAGACGAAGACAGCGAAACGTTGGTCGATCAAATCTTACCTAGCAACCTCGTGTATTAGATAATTCATAGAAGGGACTATAATTGACTGCTTTCACTGAGGTCGAAAGAGAGTCAGTTTTGAAAATTTTATTGTGCCTCTGGCTTTCAGAATAAATACTCTTGTTTTTTATGTCTCATAAAAAGACGATTAGTTTTGAATTGACGTGGATTATTCGCTGGTAGCTCGTTGATTTTTCAAAATGAATGTGAAGAATAATTGTTGTAGTTCCACAGTTGTCTCATCTGTATTCCTAAGTTACTTTTACAAAGTTCCAAAACTTTTGCTGGATAGATTTGAGCTTTTTGTTCGGTTTGTCATAATTTTTTGATCAGTTATTCAGCGACTCGTTTGCGCTGTCAAGTGATGTGCTGTCCACTGGTCTTCATTCGTCTTTTCCTATTTATCAAATGGATGCGAACATCGAGCGATCCTTTTTTAGCTTCACTGTAGGTCTTTTCAGCGGCTAAAATACTCGTACAAAGACATATTCCAGGACGTATATTTTCACAACTGATTGTATATCGATACTCACATATTTGTGAATGTATTCGAAGAATTTATCATTTCGAGCTGAAATCAAATTGTATTTCAAATCGTCGCTTCGTTCCTTCTTTGGCAGATGATCCCACATTTTCTCAGTCATCAACAGATCATCTCACACATCCTGATCATTTCCTTCGTAGTAAGTTAGCATGGCGAAATAGAGCATATTTCAGTCGAAAACAAAATAAATTGCAAGGTGCTTTCTTTCAATTTTCCAAAATTTTTTGTGGCACGTTTTTTTTTTGGAGAAAGATTCCAAGTTCCTCTCAAGAACACACCTTCAATTAGATTTTGATATTCGGATTTGATTAATCTCATTTCAAAACACTGCTTTTCATTCATAGATAGAAGACGGAATATGACTTTAAGTGATGATGGATATGTTCACCTTAGGTCTCCAAACAGCAAATGGTGTGGGCCGTGTAGAATTATGAAAGTGCATGAATCTTGCAGGAACATCAATCGAAAACCATACGTCTCTTTTGGTCTTTCCGATGATCATCACTAGATAGGTGTTGAGATGATTACCTGCAGTTTCTTTTGAATCATTCCGATAGGTACATTCTTTCTCGAGAGCTGCCGACTCACATCGCCTATTGTCCATGAAGAAAATGGAGAAAGGATGAAGAGTTCTGCACTCATTTATTTCTTAGTTATGTAGCATGAGTTGTCGTTTGGATCAACAATTGTAGAATTGTTCAAATGTATATTTTATGCCGTAGAATCAGTGGCTCACCGAGACACCGCGATATTGTATTCCATGCTCACAGATAAGTCTGTGATCAAATTGCTGCTCGCGAAGCTATGGGAAGGTTGCTTTGTAGAGAGGTGAAATGAAATCAACAATATTTATCATAGTACACCTTCAACGACTGAAAACAGCTCCCCGCCCCCCCCCCCCCCCCCCCATTGGGATATAGGCGAGAAAAATGACATCTCAGTGCATAATAAAACCAAAAATCAAACCAAAAAAAATATAGTGAAAACCACATGATTTATTAAGCTCTGCTTGTTTTTTTACTATATGGTAATTCCCTGCAGTGTTATCAGCAGACCTCCATAAATGACCATATGATGAAATTGGCCTCAAAAGTATTCGACATGAGCGATTCCACTAAGACTATCGCCAAATATAACAGTTCCAGGAAGAATCCTGTACTGCCAAATTTGTGAAGACTAACAGCTTTATCAGCGGGAGCCGTGACCGAGTAGTTGTGATGCTCGTCGCGGTGCGCGTGGAGCCGAGTTCCACCCCCAAAACTCTCCATCAGTTAACAAGAATGCCTCAAGGAACGCCACAGCCAAGCTAATCTCGAGATTGCAGGGAGACATGCTCGACCAGTAATTTACGTCATTCAAGAACAAGACGAGAAATGAATCGAATGCTGGGATTCGCACAATCAAGAGAAAAAAAGTTGTGATGACGGGTGTGTAATCAAAGTAAATAAACAGCTTTGTACTATATAGAAAGTGGAGTTGTTATCGAATCGTTGAATAATAAATGAATATCCTTATATTATAATAATTATTTAATGATTTTTAGCCTAACTAATAAAAGAAAACCTGACAGTGGGGCCACTACTGATATAGTATGAAGCTGCTAGCGCATGCTCATAGATCATCACACGACACCCGATCAAACATGTGAGTATTCGTATAGTCGGACAGTTTGGTACAACTAAGCCAACAGCTATTCGAAGATCAAATTAAAAGCACTTAAATGAGAACTACAGTGCGGTGGTTAGACGTTCGTTCCATATACATTGAGTCTTTGGTTCGACTTCGCTACTTAAGGGAAACGATAGCCATACCTACCCATGTCAACTAGGATTTGACTATTCTAGTAAAACTGATACATTACAATGTGTTGTAAATTACTGCCTAGGACAAATGTGCATCCAGTCATCTTTATGATGTTACGAGTAGAGTTGAATGCATGATGGATTCCTCAGGGAATGATCGACACCAAACATATTATTTTTTTTGTTCCTGAAAATACATCAGACTCGCTGCCAAACGAATAATGACGTCCAGGTGATGAAACGGACACGAGAATCAAGGACATTCGTTAGCCAAGCAATTTAATTGACTCGAATTCCTGACGCAATCGATCTGAATTGCGGACAATCTCATAGAAAAAGCTAATGGTTCGTCTATTAATAACAAATCTCTGTACAAAAAGTTTCTTTGACGGTACATGACACTTTTCGTTTTCGTCAAAACACAGTTAATACAGATGGGGAAAGATTACACTGGATAAAACAAATGAGGAGCCCTAAAAGATTGTTTGTCGTACATGTTCACAACTGATCTACGTAACATTCGATGGTATTAGAGAACGCTTTTGATAAAAAAAAAAACGAAGACAGGTCGATTGAAATTGTGGCTTCCATTAAACGTTCAAGGTACGAACTTGAGGGTGCAGCAGATTCTGAGGAAGGAACAGCCACTCTCCTCACCAAATAAAATATCACATTCTAGGCTGGTATCGATTCAAAACAGTCCTGTTTTACAACAAAGAGATAAAGTTCGCGACGTTGATCAATAACTAAAGGATACGTCATGCATTCGCCTTCATTTTCAACTTCGTTATTGGATGCATACCTTGTCCTTTTATAATGGCTCGCGCTGGCCTCCCGCTGTACCGAGTCATTACTGCTTATTCTCCCATACATTCTGTGACCAGTCCGGTACCAAATTACTGACCCCGGAGGGGTGGATGGCCTGGTGAGCTATGAGAGCGAGATCGAACAATCGACCTTGCGTGCGACCCAGAGCACCTCTAGCCACTGCGCCACAAGCGCTCCTATGTTTTCCGAAGTATCTGATAATTATTGTTTGAACCGACATGACATGTGGTTTGTTTATGGACCCTTATACAGCCCGACACACGTGTTTCTGCCTTGGCAACCTCGTCAGTCGGGCAGGCTTTTCGTCTTTATGCGATTCTCTCGGGGTGCTCCATTCCTCCATGGAGAGTAAGCGACGGCGTCCAATTTACACGTGCCGTCAAGTGGAATAAATAACTAGATCGACCGGTGAAATAGCTCTGTTTTTGTATTTTCTATTCTTTGAAGCAGAAACTCTTATCACATATTATTTTCTCTTGAATTCGATTCTTAATGTGACTTACAATTATAAATGTCTAAAAAACATACCTAAAATACATTTGGAAACTGTTGAAGCTTTTTTCTTCATGAACATAATTTCGTAAATGTTGGAAAAGAATCATGGATAAGTTACTCAGTAGTCAAGGGGATCATGGAGAGTGTTTTAAGGATGATAATTCTCAACAGATAGATGCGTTGTAGCGAAGAAAGAGTGATGGTTAAACGCGCATCAATAGTGCAACAGGTTAGAGCACGCGCTCCCGGATAGAGTGAGATATAGGTTCAAGTCCTGCCTGATGCAAAAGCTTTGCACGTCACTCTACATCATTGGGTATCTACATTACTTGTTAGCAAAAAATTTATCAGCTTTTTGAAAAAAGAGAAATATCAACAGACACACTTAAACTGTTTCTTTTCCTGCAAAATCAGGGTGTCCGGAAGCAGATCATCGAATTTCAATGTCCACTCAATACATATTGCCTTAAATGTGCTAAAGGATCGCTAACTCTATCAGAATGACGCGATTATTCAATGCTGTGGATCAAAAAGTCTTATTTGTCTGATGTACTAGTATTCCTTCGATATCTATTACCCTGTTGTCTCCATTTCGAAGTTATGTCCTAGTTGTACAGAATTTCCTAATTTGCTGTTTGTAAGTAGATCTACTGACTTCTATGACGCTTATGATAATCGAAAAAACTGCAATGTTTTGGTTACGCTCATAACGATGTTCTTTAGAAGAAATTCAATCGTCAGCGATCCTATTGTGATAGAACATCGACATTATGTAAATAAAAACAAAATGGACTGGTCGTTTCATATTCGAATCCGTAACGGCTCTTTTTAAAATCCTAGTCGTTTCCAGTTCGATAGAACATTTTACATTAAGGCTAATTGAAGTATTCTCTCTCTATCATAATTCTACAAACCTTTCTATGTCTTTAGAAACATTGTTAGGTCTACCCTGACAGCATTTAGTTACATTGTCATCATACTCGTTTCAACACTAGCAGAATTTTTTATTGACGACTTATAATTGAGGCGGTGATAGAACGGTGCTTATTATTTCTCTTTATTTGCTTACTTTGCTCGATCCGTCATCACAGTGCTTTCTTTTTTTTTATCTTAGTGTGGATTCCAATACGTCTAACATTCAATTCGCTTTTCGTCTTTTTTTGGACGGCGTAGAATATCGGTTGAGCGAGTCACCTTGCAATTTCGAGGATAGCCTTGCTGTGGCGCTACATAGGATGTTGTTGTGTGACTGCCGGAGAGAAGTGGGGGAGGGTGGAGCATCACATACCAACATCACAACCACTCGGCCACGGCGCCCCCTATTCTTTCTTCATAAACATCATTTCTTCATTTCTGTGGCATGGTTTTCTTAACGACATCTCCACAGTAACGTCTTTATGTTAAAATACGTCATCCATTCTTACACAGAATGTTTTGTTTAAGAATCGTTGAGAAATTTCAAAGCTATCAATTTGGCTTGAAATTATGTTGATTGCTGAAAAGTGGTATTCTATGCGCATTCAGCTCCTGACGTTATCCCCGAAGCTAAGCATCACCACTTTCAATCAGTTAAGGAACTCGTCTATAAATGCAGAACACACTGACAAAAAATGAGTCTATTTACAGTAACGTCCCTAATTGTTTTTGTAGCTTCCAGTAAACTCTTTGTTCTGCAACAATGGAAACTATGACTTTGGTTGTATCGTAGCATTCCCAAACCACCATCATCTTGGACAACCGTAATGCGTTTCAAAATTGAATGGTGGTTGCCACTTGAAACTGGATTTCCCAGAAAGGAAGGAATTCTCGTAAGGTCAAACAGCGCACAGAATTTCGTTAGCAGTAGCAGGGACTCGAGCTTGATTTTCTACTAATGACAGAGATATTCTGAACGACTAGATTGGTGTTACTCTTGTCACTCGCTGTCTCTGTTTCGAAACCAGCCAGAGATTTCTTTTGATTCTAAAGGTCACTTGGGCATATCGTCAGTCTGCGTGTGATGTTGAATCATTGCCGAGAATATCAACATCTGTGGATGTATCAGCTACTGAAATGACACGAGTGTTCGCAAAGGCCGTTTTATGAGTAAAAAATTCCACCTTTGAAAAATATTGCAAATGGTCTGTTAAAGCTGAAATCTTCATTGTTTATCTGGAACTGTTTCGATGTTTTCGACAAAGTTACCTGAGATACGTGTTTCAATAGTTTTTGGACTGAAAAATGTCTTACACTGAGAATCTGAAGAACAACTAGATCATTTTTGTTTGGTAAAAAGTTAAAATTAGTAGCGAATGCCGTAATTAGCTACTAGAAGTTAGCAATAGAAAAATTCTACTACATGGGTCAAAATACATTTCATACTACGGATGGGATAGCAGTGTTCCCATTCGGTTCCTTTCCTCGTATGCGATCACACACCATGTCTCCTACAATTGCATTTTAATTCGTGATTGTTTGGAGATTTTGTCTTTTCTCATAATTTTCGCTATTTGCGGGTGGAGTCAATTCTTACTCAAAGCTTGGAATAAGAATGCCACGTCGTGTCAAAATCTTCGCCATGGGCAGTAAACACCAATGTAGATCAGTGAGAGCTTCCAAAACAACTGTGATAACAATTTTTCAGCTTCAAATGTATGAGAGGTCCGTGGGTGCGGGGCTGTGTTGACAGTGAATGTTGTATTCTAAGACTCAAATTCCAACTTTATTTTTTTCCTAAATAATCTTCGCCGGAAATTTATCTTGAGACTTGAATCTCGGACATCTTACCGCATATTCAGACAATTTTTTTCCGCGGGCACCAAATAATTGTCATTTTTTCGGGAAATTTTTCTGTGCTCTATCGTTTTATTACCTTTCCCGTTGATCTAATATTGACTTGTGCGCTGAAAAGTTAATTTCATCATTTGTTTCATAATCTCAAGAAGCATGCCTCTTCTATCGACCGTTCTTTTACAGGCCCTTTCGAAATGATATAATCTGGTAAGGATATAACATATTTTGAGCTGTTAGGTCTAGTGGTATATAGGCTCCTGTTTCGTCCTATTGGGACTCATCAAAACAATCCTTTTACTAGTCGGCGTCGGTTCTTTTATAGAGGATTATATAACCTCAGGGGATCTGCTGAACTGAGTGAGAGTGTTACTGATGAGTTTCAATAGGACGAAACAGTGCTCCTGTGTACCACTACACCTAACAACTCAAAACATGTTATATCCTTATCAGATTATAATCTCAAGAAGGCCAAAAAACTGTGAACATCTTCTGAATGCCAAGCTTCTTCTGTCTTTCTACTCTTTCTTTCTTTTCATTCACATTCGAAATTCAATCGCTAGTAAACCTCTGATTCTTTTTGTTAATCGTTGTCGTTTTCTGAAATAAAGTGAAATTTTTGCGTGATCTACTTATCAACTGAGGGTTTTCATTTCCTATTCGTTTTCGGTCGTTGTACTCTCCTCTGTCCTCTATCCTACTCTTTCCGCATACGCTTATCTTTGATTTTCTGGATTGATTACCTTTTTCATTTTTCCACGTGCGTTTCAACGTCGTTCTATCAAGTGCACGGTCCTTTTAGACGGTCATTCTGTAAACTTTCGCTTCTTCCTTTTCTTTTTCTTCAGTTATTCGCTAATTTTATTATTATTCTTAGGTGAACTTATTTTTGCAAGTGAGATGATTTTTTGTTGATCATTGACAATAGTGTTTCTTATAGCATTTTTCCTGTTCCTTTTATTTATCGATACTTTATTTTGTTATTTCGCTATGCTTTCCAGTTTTTTTTTGTTTCGCTGTTTTTCTGCCTAAAATTTTTGGTCGTTCTTCTGTTCACTTAATCAATGCTTTATCAATAAATAACCTTCAATTTCTCATAATTGACTTTCAGTCTATCGCTTCATCTAGTTTGATCTAATTGCAATTTTTTCAAACCAGAACTTTATATGAAAATCGAGAAAACTTATCTTGATTAGCTGGCGCGAGGTTGGTAAAGTAGTTGTAGAAATTCGGCTGACGTTTCGGCGACCCGCCTTCTTCAGAGCCTGGGCGTATGTAGTGTTAGTCTATTTGAATGATTCGGATGGTCTTATTTATATGCTGCCTAGGTCAGGTTAGAAGATAAAACGAAGAAAGGGCGCGAGATCTCGTGTGATGGTGACACATTCTTCCTTCCGTTCATTTCGGGGTTTTTGGCGTTTATCCAAAATGCCTCAAGAGTTTTGCGGTGGATGTTTCTGATTCCTGCGCCAGGATTGTGCAGTCACATCAAAATCCTTGTTGTTGTGTTTTTGTGCCCTATGTAAACCTAAAGGTTTGGTTTTATCTATTTTAGATTTACTGTCCAGATGTTCATTTATGCGGATGAAAAGTGGTCTACCCGTTTCGCCTATATATTCTTCCCCGCATGTTTTACATGTTAGCAAATAAATTGTGCCTGATCTCAAAAACATCAGCCGAATTTCTACAACTACTTTAGCAACCTCGCGCCAGCTAATCAAGATAAGTTTTCTCGATTTTCATATATCAATTGATTATGCCGAGGTTTATAGAAAGTCGAACTTTTGAATTGTCGCAGAACTTTATAGTTGACATAATTTTAGCAGTATTTCTCGGTATCTCATAACATTTTATTCAGAATCATTGTGAAGAAGTTATAGCATCATTTTTACTAATGTAAAACATTTCACAAGAAATAACGCCGAAACAATCAATATATATCTACTGATTCATTGTAATTTTGCTCAGTTTTTTTTGTTTCTAACCCTTCAAATACGCTTTAAAATCTCCAAAACTAGCTACTTTCATACTTCTCGCCTCATTTTCCTTCTGTCATCTTTCCATTATTTTCATTCGCTCATCCCGACGATTCCTACATTGTTCTGGCTCCGCCTCGGTTTGAATCACCCGCTGTTTCCTAAGACACCCACACCTCCCTCCCCTACTGCCATTGTTGGTTGCTGAACCGAACGATGGTCGGCCGATTAGAGCTCTCGTTTTTTTAGCAATGGTTCCCAGCATTTTTCTTGTAAGAGTGTTTCAATATCGGAAATAATACGTGGATCACGCCCTCTTTTTGATTATAATGTTTAATCTTTCATATGTCGTGTTCCCATAATTATAATACTTTTTCTATTCATATCTCTATCATGTAGACTCATGTTGCCATATATGGAAGAGGGATGTAAAAAAAGAGTTCTTACTATGTAGTGAAATTATACTAGCTATTGAATATCTGAGCATTGGTTCACCAATCCATGAGCATATGTACCGAATCGTTACATAGATCTTTCAAAA